ACTTCCTAGGCCTCTCCGTTACAAAGGAACCGGATAAGGTGGAAGGGACATTCATAGACAGTCTGCGCACTCAGTTCCGCGGGTCCTGGTCCCTGTCACGTGTGGGTAAAAGGGTAGGCAGCTGCTCCCACTTTCTCTGCTGAAAACTGCATTGGAACGAGGCTGAACGGCCCTATTTGCTTGATCCCTCTCACTTCCATTCGTTCTCTACCAGTGAGTTGTGTTTCGTTGCGGGACCTTATCTGCGCAAGCTTTGCACCTTAAAGATAGCATGGGGGAGAATGGAGCCGGTGCCCGGGTATCGCTACCCTCCAGCTCCGTTTCCGGGCACTTTTGAGCGGAGAAAGTGTTTAGCATATTGTCAGAACCGTCTTCGGGAGGGAGTGTACAGTTTGTCTTGAAGAAGGATTGATTCTGGGGGCAGTTCGGCGACGGGAGGGGGCATTTTGCACTTTGCCACTAACCAGTGATGTATTTCATTAGCTCGCAAGTGTTGACAGGTTTAATCATGGTAGCTTACCCTAGCTTAACATAAGTTCGCAAGCTTTACCAGAGTGAAACGTGAAACTAGTGCAGCAGTGAAAGGGCAAAATGCCCCCCCCCGTCGCCGAACAGCGCCTTGATGCTGCGTTAGCGCAGCCACTTTCCCAGTACCTCACATCCACTCCACTTTAGAATTAAACACTAGATCACCTTACTTTTTGGAACTGCCAGAGCTTCGCCACGAACACTTGGAATGAACACTGGCATTGTCGGCGTGTAGGAATGATTCATTCGAAATCCACTCAAGTTCGATAATCATCCTAGTTCTCAGAGGATTCTTCTCCTTGTAAACCTGAAAAATAAAAATAGAGTCGTGCTTGCGCGATCAAATATCCAGCGACCTTATGGGACCTTCTAGAGGAACTCATCCTGCCCATAGTTCACCCTGTTTTCAGAGCTTCTGGAGTATAAGGCGAAATCAGGGTTGGTGCATAAACGCACGCGACATCGCGCTTGAAATTTCCTGACAACTGATTTTCTAGACTTTTTTGAGTATTTCAGTCGCTTAATTGGTTTCCAAGCACTGCTCATTCAGTGTAGATCACTCACCTGAATAAGAACAAGAATTACGCGAAAACAAGGCCAGAAAAACCTCCACTACGCTCGAGGCGATAGCGCGCCCTATACCGGTGCGCCTCGGACCCAGGATGGTCGGTAGACAGAATGCCATGTCTCTCTAGATCCACAGAATCATATCATGTGGATGATAATATCATAGTTACTGATCACGGTCAGTCAAAGCCCAGCTAGTTCGAAGAGCACAGGTCAATAGAAAAGTAAACAAGGCAGAAAGAAACCTGTTGAACCCTTGAACTCTTGGCGCAGTTCGACTTGTTGTAGGTGTCATATAGTACTCAGCAAGGCTTGCACAGGCCACCATGTATAGTCCTGTACCCAAAGTGGCTCACTTGTTCCATTTTGCAGCTTCCTTGGAGTTTGCAGGTCTCACTAAAATAAGACATGTTAGTTTGCGTGAATCATGGGGGTAGAGAAAGACCAAAATGACCTTCCCAAGCCAAAGAGCTATACAAACTCTGTTAAATTGATTGAATGGCTTACCAGGAAGTCATGTCAGTAACTGGAGATGTCCTACGACCAGAATGCACTGAAATTCTGACTGGAGCGCTGGAAAAGTTGTACCAGTGGAAGAGAACTCGTTTTATGTTTTTTTAGGAAAAGCCTCGACTGCAGTGTATTAGACTGCACTCACAAGGGAGGCCGTGGTGAGCTTTTTCAAAACGGTTTGTTGCATGTTGTAGGGGTCCATGCGAGGACCACAGCGATGGGGTTCATTTTTGCTAAACGGTTCTGGGAATGTCAAAAAAAGGTCAAAAATAATTCGAAAAGAATGGGCTTTTTAAACCACCTTATTCGCCTCTGTTCTAGCTGTAGCGTTGACAGGGTATAGTATGTGGGGAATCCATTGA